CGCAAAGTCTCTGCGTTTTCTCGAAAAAAAAAGGAACTTCGCCTTTCCATTAAGAAGAGTAGGAACTGGCCAGTTAATAGGGAAAGTTGGCCAGAAACCGATACATCAGTGACACACACACCAGCACCGAGATCGCGCACCAGGCGAGCCGCCGGCTTCGCCACACAAGCAACTAGAGCCAACACCCTACAACCAGATTCGAAGCCGCCACGCTGACTCCGGCATCCACGCCGATCCCAAGGCCACAACCAGACGAGTCGACGACTCAGTCACCCAAGCAACCAGAGACGGCGCCCTACAACAGCACAACAGTTTTTGGAGCTACTGCTCGGACTTACAAACTTAAAACACACGCTGACCCTGAGGCTGAGCACTAGGCGAGCCGCTAGCTCCGTCACTCAAGCAACTGGAGCTGACACCCCACAATCTGACCCGAATCTGCCGCTCCAGCATCCACGCCGACCCCAAGCCGATACCCTAAGAAGACATCGAGATCCGGAGCCACCGCTCTGACCTCCACATCGGGTGAGGCCGTGCGCCGCCCGATTCGCTGGCCCGACCACGGCGTCCACCATGGATGCTGCATGGCAACTTCATTCGATAGAGTCTTATCTGGCTAGGCCATGGCCTCCTAAGGTGACGCCCCCAAGGAGGAAGTGACGAGGACGCCGCCGTTCCCTCCTCCGGCAGAAACAGGGGACTTGAACTTTCACCTGGAGGATTCAATACCAGAGACTTTGGGAGATGAAATAGAGCACCCATGATGCCCCCTCCAAGGAGGGGAACGACGCCCACAGGTGTCGCCATCGTCGGCGCCAGCTAACTGTTCTATTCATCTTGTGTTTTATGTCTTGGGATATTCACTCGAACAAGATAACATGTTTCTGGTGCAATTAAGATGTTACTTAGCTGCATTCTTGCATTTGAAACTCAATTAGCAAGGGGTGCACATGAAAGCCTAACTATTCTGGCATATGGCTATGGGCCTTTTAGGGCTAGCTGTTCCAAAAGTGCACTTTCTGATTACCCATCTCTCCCAAAATAAGGAACAAGTAGTGTTTTATCTTCAAGTTGCACGTTCTACCCCTTGAACTCCAAGCATTTCAAAACTAAGCATCTCTACTCATTAAGTTTAAATCTGCAGCCTGACTATTTTATGCTTGAATGCAATTTGACTAGCAAAACACATGTCTCGGTGAGGATAGTGGCTATATAAGCACAGTTGACTCCCGGCAATTCATGCTTCTGTTAGCCAACAAACTCTGGGGTTATTCTTCTGGCCCTGAGTCCATCAGGCTGATATGATGCTAACCCAGATCTCCTGTCTCCTATTTCCCCAGGAAATTTCAGGGATGCCCACCTCTTTGAAGGAAGAGCCACGGCAGGCAGCTGCCTCCCCAGATTCTAGCGGTGAACCATCATCCTCTGGGACGATGAAAGAAGACAGGAGCGAAATCCCATAAGCTTCATCTGCATCTTGCAAGGAGATGGGTATCTCAGGATGGTAGGCTCTGATTTGTGATCATAGAGATGTAAATAAGTTAGCATGCTTGAGGCGAGGCCTGATTTGGTTTACAGCGCTGAAGAGCACATTTTCCTGGCGGATGGTAACGTTTGTGATCATTTTTCAAGCCGCTTGCATTGCATCTATTAGTTGGGGTCCATATCTTCCTGCCATATGGGTAGATAGCAAATAATCGCGGAACAATACTGTTGTGTTGTCCATGTCTTCTGTTTAATCAGGTTGATTGGAGGTTCTGTTTTGCATTCCGGGGTTGGCAGGCACATTGTGGCTTACATTCCTAGAGCTTAGTTTCAAACCAGTTCATGGGTGTTGTGGAATGCATCAGGATATCTTGCTGCTAAGGTTCATAATGGACACAAAATCTGATTGTGAAGACCCTTTTTAGCTCTCTTCTTTTTTTTGAAATATAAGCACCTTCCATTGGATTTTATTAGGGGTATTACATACTCCCTCCGTCTGGAAATACTTGTCGGAGAAATGGATGTATCTAGATGTATTTTAATTCTAGATACATCTTTTTTTATCCATTTCTCCGACAAGTATTTTCGGACGGAGGGAGTACATGGGACACAATTGATGGAATTTATGCAAGTGCAAGATCATATCGGTAGGCACAAAATCTTAGCAGCAGAACATGCAGCATCACTGGGGGTTGGGAGAGCGACTCCAAGATCACCCGCTCCAGCTCTGTTAGAGAGGGAGTAGATGGAACGAGGATCTTCGACCCAGATACCAAACCGACTGAAGCTTATGAAATTCTGGGAGTTGCTCTTAAAAAATCGTTTACATGAGGATCTTAGTGCTTGTGCGTTCGAGAAGTTAGTTTTTTACTCTGTACGACGGCTTAACGGTTGCTGTCTGATGAGAAAGCACAGTTGGAGGATACTAGGAGGGACACTGCAGCAAACTCAATCTATGTCATTGTGGTCCATGAGACCAGCTTCGCAAAAACACTTTCTGCAAGGGTGAAGGGGAGACATCACGTCCTGGTTTTATCAATCAAGGTTAATGTCGATGCGGCATACTCATCGACTACTGATCAGGCGACTACTGGAATTATTATTGCCCGGGGTACAGGTGGGGAGTTCTTTCTTGCAGCTGCTCAGAGATGACAGCTGAAACACTTCCTCCGTGATAGTGTGTGCATTTGCCATAACCTGGCGGTTTTGGTGGATATGTGGAACAACACGCCGCAATGCAGGTCTAAGATTACGGGGCTTCTACAGGAAATCAAGGACCATAGACGGGGTTTTAACTCCTTTTAAGTCATCCTTTATTTGTAAAGAAGCAAATGTTGTGTGCAAAATTTCCCTGACCAGAGACTGGCGTGGTGCTGCTCCGGCGCAGCTCACTACATGTATGAGCTATAAAATGAGCTCTATTGATTGCCAAAAGAAAAGGAAAGAGTAAAGCTTCTTATACTGACTCGCCACATTGGCATTGGCATGGTACAACAATCCATAAAACCTTCAGCATGAAAACATGTCCTTTCCTTTTGCTCGAAAAGAAACACGTCTTTCACGCATCATTAGCTTAACTAGGTAGATAGCAAAAAAAAAACACTTAGCTAATAGGTGGATTCTGCAAGGCATCCAAGCTTCTGCCTATTCGCTCTTCTATCCAGGCAAGTCTCCTCTCAAGTTTTAGCACACTGGTATGCAGAACCCTAACATCAACTTCTGCAAGCTTTGCAAATGAGCGTATCAACACGTAATAATCAGCATGTCCGATGCAAACAAGACTACCGGTTATTGTCTTCCTTCTATAGTGAAGGTACCCATTTGACCTAAGCCACTTCCTTGGCGGCAGATAACAAAACCCATGATCCTCCATTTCCGACTTAATCCTTTGCACCCCTGATGATGATGCAGAAAAGCTCCTTGCACCAACAGAAGTTCCATCCCGGCATCGTTTATTCATCACTCCATTCGTGGTTCGCGTTTCCTCCATGCGAGCTTTTGGATTCCCATCCTACAATGCAATAGGTTTAGCCATCAAATCAACAGCAATCATCCCCAAAAGACGCGTGGATAATCCTAGGTGCTACACCCATATTAATTTCAGGTTCAAAACCAGTATGTGCTGCAAATGAAATAGGGGCTTTTCTTATGAATAGCAACTTTCTTATTCTTCATCTTTTAATTTAATATTTTGGGAGTTCCCACAAAAATCTTTCAGACTATTTGTGTTCGATTTCTAAAATCATTTACTCTCTTCGATCCAAATTAATTGTCGCAGCTTTAGTACAACTTTGTATACAATTAATATGGACCTGAGGGAGTAAGATATTTTTTCCATGCTGATTTTGTTTTAGAAATAACATCCATAGATACAACCCTGCTGTTAATGGTTTGCACTCAAGAGGAAGGCTGCATCCGTATAAATTAGAAGTTGAAAATCAATATGTGGTGAGAAAAATAGAGAACATTTTACGAATAGCAATTTTCTTGCAAGTAACAGCAGCTCCCTCCATGGTATGTCGCTTCCCTGCCAGAAAAGGCCAATTCCTGGCTGGCCATCTACACCACCAACCATAGCCACCAACTACTGCCAAGGCTACCTGTTTGACCGTCGCCTATTGCTTATGCACATCTAGGGGAGTGCCTAGGGACACCTTTTTTTAACCTTGTTTACACTAGATGCTGATACAGCTAATAACTTCAAAGCAACTAATCCAGCCCACAAAAGGGAAACATTAAATTAGAGCCAAGACAAAATAAGATTACGGTGAGGATTTGAGGAGTCGGATAAGATGAGAAGTACTCCATGATGGAGACAATCAGACAATCATAGAGAGAGACACTACAGCTTTGCTGCTTGATGCAAAAGACGAACAAGAGTTGACAACAATATCAAACTGGGTGCGTTACCTCTCGTCCTTTGTACATATCCTGAAAGATCTCTATTAAGTGATCCTCTTCAACTGAACATGAAATCCCAGGGAAAACAATATCTTTGCAATATTTGAGATAAGAGTGAAGGTCCTTTGAATAGTCTGTAGAATTAGGAAACTTAGTCAATTTTGTACCACTAGTAAATATTTGGTCCAGTCACAACTAGTGCCAGACAAGAATGCATTCAGTCAAAACATTATAACTTTGAACAAACATATCATTGTGATTTGTGAACAACTTATGAGAACAAATGGTTTATCCAATATGCTTTGAAGTTATTGCACTTCTATACTTTCCTTATAAGATAACAAAATATATTGGTCTAAAACTCTAAATACATATCTAGCTATTACAATGCTAAAGGGAAGTTACCGATCACCATCTGTACGAAAAAAAGATAGAAGTGCAGTTTTGTCTTAGTTGACAATTTGACACATAATGAGTTGCTCTACAGCCGTGTACTCCCTCCGTTCCTAAATATATGTCTTTCTAGAGATTTCAACAAGTGACTACATACAGAGCAAAATGAGTGAATTTACACTCTAAAATATGTCTATATACATCCGTATGTGGTAATCCATTTGAAATCTCTAAAAAGACTTATATTTAGGAACGGAGGGAGTATATCAGAACTCTCTGTTTGTGTAAGGAAACATTAGAATAGCTTACAATCCAGAGGTAATGCAGAAAACCAGTATTTCTCACTGGAAGATACTCGTGCATTGTCTGTTAATTTTTGTAATGCTGTGCAGATGCCCCGAAAATGTTCAAGCCTAGTGTTATTAGACACTAACAAGCATTAAGGAGCTCTCTATTTAAGTGTGGAAGTTCAGATCCAGGAAATGTCAAAAGTTATTTATTGCGAAAAACAAAAGCCACAAACTCCATGCATACATCAACGTATTATTTCTCCCCATACAAAATATACATGTTACTCTAGCCTTGCCAATTTTTAATACAAAGTGAATTTCCTAAAAGGTTGAAATACAGCTATGGCGATGATCCGTACATATCCTACCTCAGTAACTGAAAATTACCATGGTGAGATAGACTAGCGGCTCTACACATACGAGGGTATAACCTGTTAACACAAAATATGACAAGGCTACCATAATACTTCCTCTGTTTCACAATAAATGTCATGGTTTTAGTTCAAATTTAAACTAAAACCACGACACTTATTTTAACTTAACAGAGGGAGTAGATAGTACCATAGTAGTCCCTCTTATGACATAGCTACTGCACTAGAAGCTAGAATAACATGTATTTAGTAACATAGAGGTAAGTATCAAATAAACCACTAACGGGCAGTATAAGGATGAGACTTGACATGCGTACATTGCAAGAAAAAAATAATGTGGATTGAAGCAAATGGTCATTGAAAGTTACCATGCGCAACATCAATTTTATCATAGGCACTTGCAAGAGTGCATAGCAATTCCTTTGTGCCAAATTCCTCACTAGTGCCGCCTTCAGGCCTCTTAGATGGTGGTAAATTTGCATCAGGATCAGACCCATCTGCATTTCTTCCTGTCTCACAAATCTCCTGAAGGGCAAAAAGAAAGTTCAGTACATTATATTTAATACATGACTTAAGAGAGTGATCCTATATGGAATACTCACCTCCCATATCCCTTGACCATTGATGTTATACTGAACTCTTAGAGCCACTATTAGTATAGCCATTACACAGACCCGTGTGGGGACCCTTAATGGATTACTAGACAACCATAGTTCTGCAGGCAATGCCCACTCATAGATGCGGCAAGCATGAGGGAGGATTCTTTCTATCGGCAGAGACAACTCATTCAAGTAGCGTTGAGCAATAGCATAGAAATTAACTGAAGGAAGCTGCAATCCTATGCGTTGTGCTATGGACCCAGCTGCAGCTTCCAGTTGCCATGTTCCAATCACTCGGACTGGTCTGAATAGTTGTCTTGCACTCAAAGGGCAGTGTTTTACAGATCTCCCAAGATGCCTGTCCACTTCGGTAAATGCTGCCATATAAGGAAGCTTACCCTCCATTGCCCACCTACAGATGTCAGTCGGTAGGATGGCTTCCCGGGCAATATGACATGCCAGGAAACATACAGACAATGTTGAGTACACTGGCAGCATCGTTCTCAATGAGCGCAGAAAGATGAACTCAACCCTTCGCCTGTCTTCGCGTGGCAAGGCTTCATCCACCCATTCACATTTCACCTCTTGAGGTTTCTGTTCGCCTGCACACAAAAGATACACATATATATCTAACTTTGCTCTGGTCTTTCAATGGTATTAACTGAACAAGTGAGTAAATTGACACCTCCACTGGCAGAGCGCTTCAGTCTCTGCGCAGCCTCGTCCTCCGCGAGCACCTTCCGCGCCCAAATTTCGTCGAACACCTTGGAGGTAGCCACCCACCGCACCCAGATAGTTCCAGCCAGGCCGCAGACAAGCGCGCCCACCCGGTACCTCTTGACCAGCACTTCCAGCTGCTGTTGCAGGATCACCTGCAGCCCCTGCACGTAGCGCCACCGGACCCGAGCACCCAGCTCCTCTGGCTCGCCCCAAGCCTCGGCGCCAGTCACAAAGTCGCGCGGCTCCTCGAAGTCAGTCTCAGTCGCAGCAGGGGGCTGCCGAGTGGGGTAAGGGGTTGGGTAGGGTGCGGGGGTGCGGAATTTGGGGGTTTTGTTGGCTTGGCTAACTCGGTGGAAGGACATGTTGCCGGTGACTTGGAAATCGTCGGGGTCCGCGGCAGTCGCCTGGGTGGATGTGTGGACAGCGGAGCACTGGCGGCACGAGAAGAAGCCGTCCTCGGCGTCGTCGGGGTTGTACTCCTCCGCAGCGCCGCAGTTGTCGCAGACCAGGCGGATGCTTCCTCCTCCCCCGCCTCCGCCGTAGTGATCCGGGGAGGCGCCGCCGCCGTCATCCATGGGAGAAGTGTGGGTTTGCGCCTTCCGGAGTTCAAAAAAGTTGCTGTCGGTGTTAGCTATAAGATGCTTGCCTGCGGCCTGTGCCCGGTACCTTCGTGCCGCGGGCGCGCAGAGGTAGAGGCCGGCAATGGTGCGCCGCCGCCACCGTCAGCTGGGTCGGGCCCCCGCCCGACGCGACTGGCTACTAGCCAACTAGGGCACGCGTGAGTTAGGGGTCTGGATGGGGAGCTGCGGAGTGGGAGGAGGGCGGAGAGGGGGCGGGGGTCCGGAGGGCAAGGAAGGCCGCCGCACCGGCGAGGGCGAGTGCCGTGACTAGGGTCGCGTAGGGGAGAAGGGGACTGGGGCGCGCCGCTGAGACTGCGGCAAGACGGACTCGGGACGGGGAGAGCCTAGTTCAGGCCTACCATAGCAGGCCTTGGGCCGTAGTCTATCACTCTGCACACGTGAGAATTCGGATTTTCTTTTTTTTTTAGTTGGAAACTTGTTGCATCTTTTTTAAGGGAAATTGTTGCAGCTTTATTAAGGCCCTGTTTGGAATCTCTCCACTCCGCTCAACTCCGCGAAGCTACAGAGTTCGGTTTGAGCTGCTCCATAAAAAGCTGCAGCAGCCTACTCCGCTCCGGGAGCTGAGTCGCGGGAGCGGAGAGAAACCGAACATGCACTACATTGTCACCTACAATCCGATGCCACCTCCTCGCTAACAAAAGCAGGTGAAACCCCAAATCAATTTTTACAGAGCTTATTTCTGCAACCTTTTCTATCTAGTATATGGTCAAAAATTTATTCGCCGATCGACACACCCAAATGACTCTAAACCCCACAAAAGTTTGAAGTAGCCCTTTCACCTCTTCAATAAGAGGACCATGTGACAAGAGGTCTCTCACCACATTGTTAGTCTTGCGAGCGACATTCTATAAGTCGGATTCCAGTAGCAATTTATGTACAATCCCTAGGTTGTTGTTAGCCATGGTCGCCACAAACCCGACATGGTTCATGTGGTCGAGCCTCATGGGAAAAAAATAACAGATCATGACGGAAGGAAAGTCCGAGTATTTGGCTGTGCATTTTGGGTGTTCGAGCAATGCGTGAGGGCTTTCGAACATTGTAGGCCTGTCATCGCCATTGATGGCACGTTCTTGACAGGACAATACAAGGGCACCTTGTTGGTTGCAATAGAAAGTGATGCCAATAACCGGGTGTTGCCATTGGCATTTGTTTTGGTTGAGACGGAGAACAATGACAACTGGGAGTGGTTTTTGCGTCTTTTGAGGACGAAGGTGTTACCCGCTCAGAGGAAATTTTGTGTCATATCGGATCAGCATTCAGGAATTCTTAATGCGATGGAGATTGACATTCCTGGGCATGCTCCATTGCACCATCGATGGTGCATGAGGCACTTTTGTTCGAACTTCTATAGGGCATGTGGCCTTAAGGAGTTGGCCGATGATCTTCAAGATTGTTGTCTCGCTTTCTCCAATAAGCGGTTCGCCACTTTGTTCAACAAATTGTTGGCACACAAAAAACTTGATCCCGGGAGTCAAGACTTTCTCAATAGGCACATTGAACACCGGAACAAGTGGGCACGTGATTTTGATGAAGATGGTCGGAGATACGGTCAAATGACAAGCAATATGGCCGAATGCTTCAATAAGGTGCTCAAAGGTGCATGTGGATTACCCATGATGGCATAGTACAATACACATTTGACAATATGAATGTGTACTTGCTAAAGTACTCGATGGAAACGGATGCACAGATAGCGGGTGAGAACAAGTGCAAGTACAAGCACAAGTTTCCACCCAAGGTTGATGAATGGTTGGAATTTCAATCACGGAAAGCGGACTCAGAAGAAGCTATACTATATGACAACGAAGAGTGGAAGTACGAAGTGAAAGAGCCAGGAGGAACCACAAACGATGGTCGCCAACATGGAGGTCGGGCTTTCAAGGTCTCCTTAACACGGTGTGATTGCTCTTGCGGGAGGTCATTGTTGCTTCATCTCCCATGCTCGCACTTGTATACTGCCGATCGTGTTAGGAATGTGGACGTCAATCACCCCCTCACCATGAGGGAGTCGGAGTTCTCAATCATGACGGTTAATAAATTGGGCTCCCCGCTTTCACCCGTACTTTGACCAATCACAATGGCCGGAGTACCATGGAGTTCAACTATGGCCGGATCCGGAGTTGAAGGTTGTTAAACGGGGTAGACGTAAGACAAAGCGTCTTAGAGGCGACATGGACGGATGGGGTCATGGTGGCCGTCGCGAAGCAGGCAACGACCAATTCCAAGATCCTCGTGAGAGCTCCCATTGTGGGGAATGCAAAGGTCATGGCCACAACAAAAGAAAATGTACAAAACCACGAAAAAGGTCCAAGAAAAATGATGCAAGCACAAGACAACAAGGAGGATCTCGGGCGAAGGACACGATGTTTTGCATTCCGTAGGACAACATCCATTACAACAGGTCGGTGGCTCGGCTTCGCCTAGACGCATGCGACGAAGAAAACCGGCGGATCTCGGGTAGGGGGTCCCGAACTGTGCGTCTAGGCGGATGGTAACAGGAGGCAAGGGACACCATGTTTTACCCAGGTTCGGGCCCTCTTGATGGAGGAAAAACTTTACGTCCTGCTTGATTAATATTGATGATATGGGTAGTACAAGAGTGGATCTACCACGAGATCAAGGAGGCTAAACCCTAGAAGCTAGCCTATGGTATGATTGTTGTAATGGATGTTGTCCTACGGACTAAAGCCCTCCGGTTTATATAGACACCGGAGAGGGCTAGGGTTACACAGAGTCGGTTACAATGGTAGGAGATCTACATACCCGTATTGCCAAGCTTGCCTTCCACGCCAAGGAAAGTCCCATCCGGACACGGGGCGAAGTCTTCAATCTTGTATCTTCATAGTCTTGGAGTCCGGCGGACGATGATAGTCCGGCTGTCCGGACACCCCCTAGTCCAGGACTCCCTTAGTAGCCCCTGAACCTGGCTTCAATGACGATGAGTCCGGCGCGCATAATGTTCGGCATTGTAAGGCGGGTTCCTCCTCCGAATAATCCATAGAAGATCGTGAACACCAGGATAGTGTCCGGCTCTGCAAAATAAATTCCACATTCCACCGTAGAGAGAATAAAATGTACACAAGTTCAATCTGCTGACGTATTTTGCGGCGTGGCGTCACGCCACTACCAAGCCTGTACTTGAATCGTTTTTTATTATACCACCTCAGCGCGTTTAGCGAAGCGGTTTCCTTTGCACGTCTTGTCGAAGCAGAGATCGTGTTCCCCTTATTCCGGGATTCTCATCAATACGGACGTGGGTAACCCAACCGCTCCATTGATGGTGGCGCTTGGGGGATAAGCGAGTTTTACTAGGCCGGTGGGGACGCATAGTCTTCGTCCGCCTATATATAAGGGATAAGGATCCACCTTTTCACCTACGCCTTCTTCCTACTTTGCTTATCCATCTCCGCGCACTCGAGCTCCAGCACCCAAGTTCGCACATCTCGTCTCGACCTTCTCCGACCATGTCCGGAGCGGGAGGCAAGTGGTTGGCCTCCACCGTTAAGGAGGAGCACATCACAAAGCTGCACAGCGCCGGATACCTTTCCGGCGACATCGCGCACCGGCTGCCCGATGAGGGGCAGCTCATCCCCACCCCCAGGCCCCATGAGCGGGTCGTTTTCCTTCCCCACTTCCTCCGTGGACTGGGCTTTCCACTTCACCCCTTTGTCCGGGGGCTCATGTTCTACTATGGCCTGGATTTCCACGATCTGGCGCCGAACTTCATCCTCAACATCTCGGCGTTTATCGTCGTGTGCGAGGCCTTCCTCTGCATCCAGCCCCACTTCGGCTTGTGGCTCAAGACCTTCAATGTCAAGCCGAAGGTAGTGAAGGGCACTCAAGCGGAGTGCGGAGGCGCCATGTTGGGCAAGATGCCCAACGTCCTTTGGTTCGAAGGGGCCTTCGTGGAATCCGTCAAGGTGTGGCAATCGGGGTGGTTCTACATCACCGAGCCGCGCGACCCTACGTGGGCAGCGGCCCCCGAGTTTAGATCTGGTATCCCTATGCAGCTCACCTCCTAGAAAGAGAAGGGCTTGCTATGGGGTAGTTCGAAGGAGCTGACGGGACTCCAAGCCTGTATCCAGAAGCTGGTGAACAAGAAGCTCAGGCTTGTTAACGTGGTCCAAGTCATGCTCGTCCGCCGGATTCTCCCATGCCAAGAACGGGCATTTAATCTGTGGGAGTTCGATCCGGAACAGCACCAGGCGTTGAGCGGGCTCTTCGACACAACGTACGAAGGCGCCTGGAGGGTGCTGTTTAAGGGCGCCGAAGCCCCCGGATCCGCGACGGAAGATCGCGGATTTCACTCGCAGCGTCCAGCTGACGAGGTAAGTGATTCTACCCCTTTACGGGACACTTGTTGTTAATAGTTGGATTCTAAGCGGGTTTCAATCTCCCTTTTCCTTTGACAGGACTGGATGAAGAAGGCGGAGCAGCTCGTCTGCCCGGCCCCCATGCCAGAAAACCCAGTAGACGCCCGTCTAGCGGGGCTGCTGGTTCCGGCACCGCATGTGGTGCCGGAGAAGAAGGCCAAGAAGTTGGCCACGGGTACTCGAAAAAGTTCCCGTTTACAGGTCTCCGACGACTCCGAGGCGGACTCCTCCCCCGAAGATGAGGAGGAGGAAGAAGACTCTCTCCCAGAGGAGGGAGAGAGGAAGAGGAAGGCTTCCCTAACACGGGAGGCCAAAGGGTCCAAGAGGGGAAGAACTATTCCCCCGGACAGCTCCGCCAACACCAATGTTGGCGGCGAAGAGTGGCCTTCAAGGGCCAGGCCTCCGGCAAGATCGTAAGTATCCGGATTCCTGAGTAACTTATAATTTCTCTTTGGTGTCACATAGTGTCCTTCTAATGCCGCATACTTGAGGGAAATATGCCCTAGAGGCAATAATAAAGTTATTATTTATTTCCTTATTTCATGATAAATGTTTATTATT